AAAAAAAAAAAAAAAAAAAAAAAAAAAAATGCAAAGTAACGTGATAGACATTTTCAGCTTTTATAGAAACTTTTGTGAAATTTTATTGGTGGAAATTGAAGTACGTGAGGACAAGAGTTAAAAAAAAATTTATTTGAGAAAAAATACCGAGTTAGGGTATATGTGAAAAATCCAGCCATTACAGACCCTGTCGTATGACGCATTTATTTTGTCGCACAGGAGTACATGCATGTGGATCATTGAACATCCTCCGAGCTGTTGATCGTTGCTCCGGACTACAGTAACACAATGTAGATTCATCTGAACTACCCCGGCCTACGGTGATAGCGTGATTCCGTGTTTAAATCAGGAAATAATTAATCGAAAATTTATTATTTATAAGGTTTCTGACAACTACTATACAGTTTCGCATAACAAATACTATTTATTCTTTGTATTTCTTTCTTCATACTTCTTTCTCAGCTCAAAAAGTGAAGTCCCAATATAAAAGTATGGAAAAGGGTTTTTGTTAGGAGTTACTTTATTATCACCATCTAACTTACGATCATTATTAATGTCTTTGACAACTTTCTTTTCAAGATCAGTTAAATGTTTAGATAATAATGATTGAAAATTATCTGGAAGTGAAGTAGAAATTTGACTGTCTCCATTGACATTCACAATTTTGCGTACGGAACTAACGGTGCCATGAGTATTCGTATTTCTACAATAAAGCAATATGTCACCTTGTCTGATATACTCTTCCTTGAATAACTGATATACTGTAGAGTTACATTTGCGGAGGCATTAACGACTTGAGATGCATCAATTTCTATTTTTCAAAAACAAAACTGTTACTGGTTTGCTCCCAAATGAGCACTTAAAATAAAAAAAATACCTGGAGTCTTTTTTGTCTTATCAAGGGATAAGGATGCCATTCATTCTTCTACTTTCTTATCTTCAAACAAATAAATTGCCATATTAACCTGCATTCTTCCATGATAAAGAATAATTTCATTAATTCTTACCTCGTTTATTATTGAGCTCTTTAACTAGTTTCATGATTGCGACTGCATATATAAATTTAATTTTGAACTCCGAAGTAAAAATACCTTTATCTAATTGAAGGAGACCTTCTCCATCAACTCCTTCATCTTTGATCACTTTGATATCATTTTTATCAAATTTGTCCATTTTAAATGTCAGATATGTTTCAACATCATCTATACTCCACTTTGTGACATCTTTAGGAAGTTCGTCAGCCATCTTTTCATACCTGTTAAAACCCATTATAATAAAAGCTATGAATTTATAATTCAATTTTCTTACCCTTTCCCACACACAAAAGACCAGTAGGGAAACAATCATCGTCAACTGCTACGGCTAATGATCAGGAAGAATTATATCCCTTCCGGCATGATAAAATTTTTTGTAGCTGAGAGCTCAGCAAAAAATCCAAGCTGTTGATCGTTGCTCCAGACTACATTGATCAGAGTACACATCAGGAAATTTGTTTAGGCATAATTTAGTGTAATATTTCGGAGGTGGTGTAAAATTTCGAAATATTACACTAAAAACGTAATATTACAAAAGTTTACACTTTTAAATTTGAATAATTATAGTAATTTAAGAATATCTCGCTATCTACTGATCCAATTAAGACGATCTATAGCTCATTGGAATCAGCTCATCAAGACGAATCGAATGGTAGTATAATCATATCTCTACGTTTGATAGATGACTTTCTATTAATTTAAAACTTATTGCATACTATAGAGCGTTCTATCAACTATAGAAATGCGAGTTTACTACCATTCGATTCGTCTTGATGAGCTGATTCCAATGATCTATAGATCGTCTTGATTGGATCAGTAGATAGCGAGATATTCTTAAATTACTATAATTATTCAAATTTAAAAGTGTAAACTTTTGTAATATTACATTTTTAGTGTAATATTTCGAAATTTTACACCACCTCCAAAATATTACACTAAATTACGCCTAAACAAATTTCCTGATGTAGTTATTTTTGCAATTTTACACCTTATGTTGACTTGTATACCATGATATTTTCTGTCAATTCTTAACTCATCCTCCAGAACAATAATTCCTGCATCAATCATCTCATGTATATGAGAACCACTTCTCTTATCTGAAATGAAGATACTGGAATCTCTGTTATCTGCGCTCTGAACAACTTCTGCTTTTATGTCATCATTTTGTGACCTGTTTTTATCTGTTAATAAATGATTAATATAAATACATATAACAAAAAAAGTTAGAAAGAAACTTTGTAAAAAATATACCCATATTTTCAATGCTATCAACATCACGGTCATAATTTTCTTCATTTCACCTGCATCAGCAAGTTTTAAACAGTCATATAAAGTGTTAAAAAACACCATGTGTTGCTCAATGCCAAAAAACGTAGGAAAACGAACCCTTTGTCAATTAACGCCACCTAAAAACGTTGAAAAACATGTAAATCAACACTCATTTAAGTGTAAAACAATATACAGTAAAACAATGATAGTTTAAAAATGTATATACAATGTATAAAAATGCGTATATTGATATTAAAACGCATATAGCAATGGTATTTTTTAGTCATCGTACATTGTAGTATTAATCTAATTTATTAACATATATTATTGTATATTATTAATATATTTACAATTTCATTTATTGTTAAAATATTGTTAATTTATTTATAAATAAATACAGTTAATAATACAAATAAATACATTATCTAATGTAAAATATATAAAAATTAATCCCTCTTGTTAAATTGGATTGCCACAGATTTTTAAGCGATCAACGTACTAAATTTCTGTTGACATAGTGCCCCTGGTGACACAACAATAACAAGGTGGGTTTCAAATAAGAAAAAACAAAAATTAAAAGGTTTGTTAACAAAACTTACACAATCTTATCCAATATTCCAAAAACTAACCGAAGCCTACAAAAATAAAAGAAATATTAGAAAATGGTTTACAGTATATTAAAAAAAAAATGAAAATAGAAGTTTTGTAATTACAAAACTTACGATCCGATCGATCTAATATCAATTAAAAATTAGGAAAGTTTCGTAACAAAATGTTATGAAACTCACCAATCTTTAGCCCAGAATTCTGAAGTCTACAAATAAAAGAAATATGGGTATTAACAATATGTTTTCAATAAAAGAAAATACAAATAATAATGAGTTTCACAAATCTGCAAAACTCACCGTTAACCCAAACTGAAATCCAAAACCTACAGAAAAGAAAAAGAAAACATTAATTAACGTTTCCTAAAAAAAAAATTAAAGAAAGTTTCATGTTATATTATGAAACTTACTCATTTCCCTAGAGGTAGGCTCCGAATCTGGTCAATCCAGTCATCCTAGAATCAATCCATCTAATAGGCAGATTCAGATTGATCAGATAAATCCGTCAAATAGACTGGATGGATGACCATCAATCCTATACAGGATCAACAAAAAAATTTCCTTTTTAAGGGCATGGCTAAAGCGGGGCTAATGTGGCTCAAAAAATTTTCCAGATTCTCCCGATATGGCATGTGCAGTAAAATATTTACCTGTGGCACCCAGCCAGCACAACGTTGAGCCGTGGCTGAGCTTGAGAGGTCCTTCGTGGGTGTGGCGAGTGCTGGTACAAACTACACCGTCACAAAGGACCGGCCCTGCCACGCCACAGCGACACTGTTGTGATGGCTGTGCCACTGTGGGTAAATATTTTCCCGCTATGTGCCGTTGGGAGAATCCGGTACAAAATTTTTTGAGCCACTGCAGCCCTGCCCCGCTTTAACCGTGCCCCTTTTTAGGAAGTTTTATGTTACATGACCGGAAACTAAATTTAGAAAAACTAGTTTTTTGTGGAATGGGTATTTCCAAAATTGGAAATGATCGACATACCCTTGCATCACATGACAACAGTTAAATACCTAATCATAAATTCCGGCTGAAATTAAATAATCAGTGAAAAATATCCTTTTTAGGATTCTTGTAAAACCCAAAATTTCATTTTTGCTGGGAAATAAAATTGCCTTTTTTGGATTTGTGTAATGTTACTCATACCCTAAAAAGGATAATTCCATGCTGATTACTTAATTCTGGCCGGAATTATAATCAATCCGGTCAATCCGTGGATAATCCGATGATCCGATTTTTTTAATCCGGATTGATCTGTCACGTGATCATCTGGATGACGGATTGACCAGATTCATCTGGAGCGCACTTCTACATTTCCCTATAAAGAAAAATCCAAGTACCAAGCTGACCTACGAAAGAAAATTTAGAGCCGAAAAGAACCTACAAAAAAAAGAGAAACGTTCAGTTAGAACATTTCTTAATTAAGAAAAAAAACAAAAAAAAATGGAAGTTTCGTAATGAAATGTACGAAACTTACCATTTCATGGCCCGTATCCAATTCCATACTTTTGAACCTACAAAAGAAAAAGAAAACGTTCAGTTAGAACGTTTCTTGAAGATATTGTTTCATGACGAAATGAAACTTAACTTTATGTTAGCCCTTATCCAGATATCCTGAAATCTAAAAATAAAGAATAAAGGAAATGTTAGTAAGCGTTTCCTAATAAAAAAATTTTTTAAAAAAAGTTTCGTGCAAAATTACTGTGTATCTAATACCAGATATTCCCAAACTACAAAAAAGAAAGAAAACGTTCAGTTAGAAAGTTTTTTAATAAAAAAATTAAAAAAAATATAAGTTTCATTTTTAATGAAACTTACTGTTTTAAACTCTCAAACTCAACTTCTGAACCTACAAAAAAAAAATAAAGGAACGTTAATAAACATTTCCTAATAAAAATTAAAAAAAATTAATTTTATAATTCAAATCTTTGAAACTTACCATAATATCCAAGATTCGAAGTCAAAAATTCCTACAAAAAAATATCATATAGAAACATTAGAAATGTTTCCTAATGTTTTTAAAAAAAGAAATTTTTTAAAAAGTTTCAAAGTGAAGCATTCACTTTGAAACTTACCATTTTCAATATTCTGGAACGAAAACGAGCCAAAAGACCTACAAAAAAAAAACAAAGGAAACGTTAGAATCGTTTCCTTATAAAAAAAATAAAAAAAAAATTTTAAAAGTTTCAAAGTGAAAAAACGCTTCAAAACTTACCCTTTGCATTTCCCGAAAGACCTACAAAAATTATAAAGGAAACGTTAGAAACGTTTTCTTATAAAAAAAAATGAAAAAAATATTTTTATAAGTTTTGAAGTGAAACTTACCATTTGCATTTCCCGTTTCCCAAAAAAATACCTACAAAAAATATAAAG